GTGGCCGGTAGTCAAGCGGTGGCCCAAAATGTATACCACTTTCTGCGAGAACTGGGCTATCGGTACGAGTCGTACGTATTTCATAGCCTATCGGTAGGCGGCTATCAGTCGGGCGAAGTACTCCTGAAACTCGTCGAAAGCGCCGATCAGTCTGTGTTTGACAAAACGTGTCGTTCCCTGAAAGGCATTGTATACGACTCGACGGTATTCCCATCGGACGCACCGGTAGGTATGGCAAAGGCGTCTACCGCTAATCCCGTGCTCCAGACGCTCATTGTGTGGACGGTGCAGTCGTATCTGTATTTGTGTCACAATTTTGTGACCAAACATAGGGAAAGATGTATTGGGACGAGAAGTGTAAGCCCTGTGCCGACGACGCCAACAAATTTCCGCCTAAAATCATTGGCGCCGTTAAGACGAGGCCCGGGATGTGGTATTATTTTGATAGAGACGGCAAATACTGCGCCCGTAAGGACAAGGATGTCACCGAGGTATGGATGAGCACCGGCTGTTTATTTATGCCCAATAATTTTCTATAACATACCTGTACTGTATATTGTATAATGAAGGGAACGGTAGTAACGTTTGTTTGTATCCATAAATAGTGTACCGACTGGAAGGACAACAAAGAGGCGTTTGGCTGCGACGCCGACCCCTCCGACGAGATGCAGGAGCTCTGCGATAAGCCTACGATCAAAGCGGCCGGCAATCACTGGCCCTTAATATACGTATTCCGGGGTCAGCGGTACTGGCAGTTCGACAACAAGGAACAGCCGGGCAAACCACTCGGCAAACTACTGTCGGGTCCGCTACCGGCGCGCGACAAGTGGCCGGGCATTCACCTGCCGGGCGGCCAGAGTTTCCACAAGACTGCGATGGTTATGGTGTATAGGAATAAGTGGTCGCTTTGGCATTTGGGTAAAGACCCGAAAGGGGATGTGTTTGATGAGCCCATACTGGATAAGGGCGATGACGACGACGAGGACGGGGATGTGAAGAATGCCGGCGCCCTCATCAACGTGGATGTGGCCGGCGCTCGATATGCGAAGATAAAGGGCGATGAGGTCTGCAATCTGCAGATCACGTACAACCAGTCCGTGTGGATCGGCGACTGTCGTAAGGTAGTCATCGATGCCGAACAGTTCCCGCCCAGCATTGTGGCCGCCATTAAGGGAAGGGATCATCACTGGTATTACTTCAATGAGAATGGAAAACACTGCAAGCGGAAGGAGGGTGCGAGGGAACAGGTATGTGAACGTCACTGAAGTTTGTGTGTTTATTTAGACACAGTACCGATTGTGAACAGTTATAACGAGTGGACAGTTATGTTAAATAATTTTTTGGAGGATTTAAAGTGTGGGGAACTGTTGTTAATGGTGTAGAGGCGCTCTGTACTGAATTTATGGCACAGTTTGTTGATTATACGATAAAATTAATGATTATTTCGCATACAGTGCACGGATTGGAAGGGGAACGGTATCCTATTTGGCTGTAACGCCAAGAAACTGAAATCAGACTTGGAATCCCTGTGCGACAACGTGACCATCACGTCGGGCGGTAATTACCCGCCGTTTGTCTACGTATTCCGGGGCCGGAAGTACTGGAAATTCAACGGCCATTACCCGAAACCCGGCAAACCTTTCGGTGAGCTCCTGAAGGGTAACCGTCCCTCGAAGGAGGAGTTCGACGGCATACATATGCCGGGCGGCGTCTCCTTTAATAAGAACGCCTTCGTTGTGGTCTATAAGAACACGTGGAGTCAGTGGAAACCCAAGGGCTCTGACGCGCGCCTACACAAGAAAATGAGGAAAAACGACAATGAGATCAATAACGCGCCGATAGGGACGGCCACTATGGAGATCATAGGTGAGCCGGACGACCAGCCCGATGGAGATGCTGTTGATAGGGGAGCGCTGGTAGCCCTGAACGAGAAGAAGGGCAGGTATGCCGTGATTAGAGGTCAGGATATTTGCTATTACGCGGTGACAGACTCCAAGTGCTCGACGGTCGGGAAGTGCGTGGATTTGAGTGAAGACAGGAATAACTTCCCGCCGAATGTGGTGGCGGTGCTGAGGGACAGGGATAAGAACTGGTACTTCTTCAACACCAACGGCAAGTACTGTAAGCGTAATAAAGCGGACAAGAAGAAGGTATGTGTCCAGTGGTCACTGCATTGGATATAAGATTATCTGTTTTTTGTGGTAATTGTTTGTGTCGTTAAATGATAAGAATATTCTGGTTATAAGTAATTGATTTGTACGGTCAGTATAGGCGAGAATATTCTGTAGTAATTAATGACACAAACAGTTGTTTGCAATGAATAGTGGAGTTAATTATTTACTGAATATTAATTAAATGTATTTTTTGTCGTTGACTACCAGTGCTCGGACTGGAAGTCCAATGAGGAGGCGTTCGGGTGTCGCGTGAAAAGCAAAGTCTCGTTCGTGCAGTCGCTGTGCGGGAACGTCCAGATCAGCTCCGGGACCAACTTCTCGCCCTTCCTGTACGTGTTTAGGGGCGCGAAGTACTGGAAGTTCAATAACCGGCCCAAAGCGGGCAAACCGTTTGGCGATATCGTTGAGGGCGGGAAGTTAGCCGCCGACAAGTGGCCGGACATACACTTCCCGGGAGGGGTCGGCTATCGGAAAACCTCGTTTGTGATGATCTACAAAAATAAGTGGTCGCTCTGGAAGAAGTCGGTGGCGTCCGTATTGGATGAGCCCATAGGTGTGTCCACTGAGGGCAGTACCGGTGCTGATGATGAGAATGATGTGATGGTGAAGGCGTCGGCCGACGGCACGCTTGAGGAAGATATGGCCGATGGAGACGCCGATTACGAGATGGACAGGGAGGAGCCCTTCATTGTGGATAATACGTTAGATGGTTAGGTGTAGGCGCCGGTGTATTGTAGAGAATATTTTGTAATTAGTTTTTAATTTTTATTTTTTCTCATTTAATGCTTTTGTATCATATTTTTGTGTAATATTTATATATTTGTTGTTAATTTATATAATAAATTCATTTATCGTTTTAAGAATTTGGTTCTGGTTAATTTAATTCAATTAAAAAGTTTTGAATTATTTATGGAGTTAATTATCCATGTTAATTTTATAATTAGTAAGTAATTAGAAATTTATTTATTAACCATGAATGGAGTTAATTCTGAATTTAAAATGGTTAAATTTATTTTTTAATCACCATGATCACTGTTTATCGCTACAGCCTAACCCTTCATTATTTACAGTTTTGACCCCTACCACTCAATTATGTTATCAGGGTATATGTATATGTAAATAATTTATAGTAGTAGTAAGGTATTTGAATAAATTATAAAAAGTTAAAAAATTTATTTATTTATTAGAGACTGTAATTGTGAAATAATTAACTATTTCAAAAACATATTTAGTTTAAAAGTTCTTATACTATTGGCTAAAGAAGTGCATCTACATTATTACAAATTTATTGTACGTATACAGTATTTGTATACAATTACTAAATTTTATGTTATAAGATATAATTTTAAGTCTATTTTTGAACATTTTAAAAGTATACTTTATTACCCAGTATTAAAATAATGGGTTTTTAATGATTTTACAAAATTTATTATTTAATGAATATAATTAATTTTTATTACTCTAAGTATAATTAAAAGAATTTAATATTTAATTTGTGTAACTCTTAAGACTAATTTGTAAGTATTAATAAAACTAATTAACATTTTTGAATAACTATTAATTTATTAGACATTCATTGAGGAAGTCATCCAATATTTGCTTATATTCTTCGGGATGTGTGGAATAGTGGCCCACATGTGGGCTGTCATCCCAGCACTTAATACGAGTGGTAATACCGATGCTCTTCGCTCGGGAAAACTCATTCATAAGGACTGTAGGGCTGACCACTAAGTCATTGGTCGACACAAAGCCCAGAATCGGACATTTGATTACAAGATTGCGATGAATATCCGAAGACTTGATGTAGTGTTTGGTCACAAAATTGTGACACAAATACAGATACGACTGCACCGTCCACACAATGAGCGTCTGGAGCACGGGATTAGCGGTAGACGCCTTTGCCATACCTACCGGTGCGTCCGATGGGAATACCGTTTGCCGTCTCTATCAAAATAATACCACATCCCGGGCCTCGTCTTAACGGCGCCAATGATTTTAGGCGGAAATTTGTTGGCGTCGTCGGCACAGGGCTTACACTTCTCGTCCCAATACATCTTTCCCTCTTTGATCACCACATGACAGACATCCGCGTCGATGATCTTCGCGTACTTTTTCCTCGACTCGTCCACCGGTATGAGAGCACCCAAATCGTTGAGATCCCCGTCCGGCTCCTTAACCTCGTCGCCAATGGGCTGTTCGTTGACATTAACGGGCGGCGCGTTCTTACGGGGCTTGGATTTAGGCTCTCCTCCACCGCCACCGGCTGCCGGCGCTTCAGCTTCAGGCCCGGAGTCGCCGCCCTTTGGCTTATCATCACTTTTAGGTCCGGAATCGTCAGCGTCCGGCTCCGAGTCCTTGGGTTTGCGACCCTTTTTGGGTCGTCCCTTGTCTGCCGGCGCCGAGTCTTCGGCGTTGGGATCAGAGTCGCCACCTTTCGGCCGTTTTTTACCCTTTTGGGACCTCTTTGCACCGGTATCTTCATCGTCCGGGTCATCCCCTTTCGGTTTTTTGCCTTTTTTGCTACGTTTAGGTTGTTCCTCATCAGAGGCATCGCCTTTCGGTCTACCCTTCCCTTTGCCTTTCTTTTTAGTCCCAGATTTCGGTGAATCTGTGTCCGCGGCGGCCGAGTCCTCACTGTCCGGGTCGTCGTCCTTAGGTTTGCCTCCCTTTCCCTTTCCTTTGCCTTTCTTTTTGGGCCCCGACTTCTTGGGTCTCTCGGAATCGTCAGAATCGGGATCAGAATCGCCTCCCTTTGGTTTTTTGCGGCCCTTTTTGGTAGGCTTTCCGTCGAAATCGTCAGCGTCGGGGTCGCCGTCAGAGTCATCGCCCTTGGGTTTGCCTCCCTTTCCTTTGCCCTTCTTTTTGGGCGACTTCTTATTCGAGGGACCGGAGTCTTCGGCGTCGGGATCAGAGTCGCCTCCCTTTGGCTTTTTCTTACCCTTTTTGGCCGGTTTTCCGCCGGAGTCGTCAGCATTGGGATCACCGTCAGGGTCGCCACCTTTAGATTTGCCTCCCTTTCCTTTACCCTTCTTTTTAGGCTTATCCGACGGACTCGAGTCTTCGGCGTCTGGATCCGAGTCATCGCCCTTTGGTTTACCCTTTTTGGGCGCATCCTTATCAGCGGCGGCCGACTCTTCCGAATCGGGCTCTGCCGGGGGTTTAGCGCCCCCATCGCCACCTTTGGGAGCCTCAGCGCCACTGCCATCGCCATCGCCGGCATTAGGATCACCCGCTGTAAGGCTACTACCCTCGGCACCGGGCGGTAGCCATTGGGCCCACTTATTGGCGTACACCATGACCAGGGCACCCTGGTTGTGACTGCACCCGCCCGGCAAATGCATGCCATCAAACTGCTTGTGTATGGGAACCTTACCCTCGACGAGGTCGCCAAACGGCTTTC